AGTTGTTACATGTATGTGCACACATGTAAATCACAGAAAGGGGACTGAAGTCAGTGCAAACTGGAAGTCTGTATTCTCAAAGAGGTGGTGGGTGGAAACAGAGCTCAGATGGATTCCAAGGACAAATAAAAAAACAGGCTCAAAACCTGGTACACAAAGGGGAACACCAAGCTGCACCTACTAGTTCTCAAATGAAGTTACAAGGCCTCTGAACATTGCCAAGTACAGTCTGGCTGACTGTGGAGAAAGTCTGAAGTGACTTCTGATACTCTGAGAACCTCAATCATGACTGTGTCTGCTAGCTACATAGCATATTAAGGACAGACTTGGTAATGATGCATCATGCAAGGGTAAATCACAAAGAAGTGGAAGACAGGCACAAGCTCTGCATATGCACAACCAGACTGCTTCAGTAAGCTTCTCTGCATACTGCTCATACAATAATGTAATTATTTTTCATTCTTAAACTTTTGAACTGCTTGAAGACATGATCCTCCATATGAAATCTAGGTATGAGTGAAAGTGGCATTTCCTTCCTTGTTGCATTAGGAAGCTTTAAATCACAAAATACCCCGACAGTCCTGATTCTGGAAGCATATATGCACATCATCACTGCTACAAGAAGTACTTCTTTAATGTAAAAAGCAAGAGTGTCAATAAACATTTCAAAGTGATCGGAGATGCACCTTGGAGCTCAGATAACAATTTATGCTTTCAGAGGCTAGAGTCCAAGCCTTCCTGGCCATTCCAAAATCCTGGAGAAAGTATTTATGAAGCATCCAGTGGCGAGTTTGCTTAACTGTAATCATCTGTTCCCCTGACGCACAGAAAAACACCAATACTTGTATTTTGTAGAAACACATTAAAATATTTTAAACATATTTAGAAATATTAAGAACATTTAAATAGACAAATACACACAGTGAGTTTCTTAAATAAACTTACTTTGATATATTAATTATAAAAATGGTGTGTTCAACTACAGTGAAAAATTACATTTTGCTTCTGTTTTTTAATCAAGCTTACAACAAAAGTAAGAAAAAATGTTTAGCTGTATTTAAAGAAATAGAACATTCTCTACTGTACGGCTACATTCTTTTGTATCTTGTTCACACAAAGAATCACTACTCCTTTTACTGACATTCCCAGTTCCTATAACACAGTTCAAGATTTGATCTTACGATTCTCAAAATCCACAAAGCAATTCTCCATAGATTCTTCCTCCATTTAGGATTCACAGCCACAGATGATCACCATATGACATAGCTTTTCTGGAGTAGATCCCTTCTTTTAAGACCCAGCTGACAGAAAATAGTAAGACCGTCCTTCAAAGTTCTGTATTTAGAATACACGCAAGGATGCAGACCTCAATGCACTAACCTTCTGTGCCTTTGGGAGACAGGCATTTTTTATGAGCTGGGGATATCCAAACCACCTGTGTACTAAGTTAGCAAGTACTCATAGGAACAGACATTCAAATTCCCTTATTGGACCTGTTTCATTTTGTCTAGAATGATGAGATTCATTGGACCAAAGAGGGGTGAAAATACACTCCAAGCTAAGGATACGGCGTTCCAGTGGATGTGGAAAAAGACAGAATTCCAGGTTCTCGTTCTCGGAAAATCATCTCATCTCAGTTGTTACTTCTCGACAGGGAACAAGGCCAACTTCAAACTCCAGGAAGTCTGCCAACTAAATTCTGCTAATCTATCTTTTCTCACATTTATATGCAACAAAATGACTTTCTACTATGGTAAAGTTGCCAGGTTAATATTACTTTCTCCCTTTTAATGTTTTTCCACACTGGCTGACACCATGTGCTGCTGTGGAAAGGCGTATTAAGGAAAGCTGAAGATTTGAGTCACTGTCTGCGAGATACACAGAAGCAGTAACAAATCACCTCTGTCTCGTCTTACTTTCCAAATGCTCCAACTGAGCAGCCAACAGCTTTTCTGTGTGCATGTTCCAAACTGAAATAAACAGGGTCTTTCAGAAGCAAACTAAATTCAGATCTCCCAATTAAAAGCAAAGACACTCCACCACCCTTAAACATTTGGCTCTCATTCATTTATACATACAAAATTCTAAATAGGCAAAACAGTCTCTAAATTCATAATGTAAATATTTTGGTTCGTCAGCAAGTAGGTCCTTACATTACTTTATTGCACTATCACTTCATAAATCCAGTCACATAATGAAGAAAAGCCACGCTTAACACTTAATTCTGAGGGTTTCTCTTAAAGATACCTACTTTTTTTTTTCTTTAAACTTAGCTCTTAAACTTAGTGTTTCTTAGGCAGGGTTAGCTAGAGGACAATTCAGATAAAAGTTTGAGTCTTTCTGAAAGGTAGAAAATGGGAATATTTTTCTGACAAACATATATATAGAAATCACATTTTTGTTTGTGAAAATTTATCTTCTGTAACTGTTACATTTACTTATTATAGTTTCAGTAGTCAGGGAAGGTTTAAAATCACCAAGCTTACAATTTTGAAGTATACATTCCAAGATGTTCATCCTTCAAAAAAAAATACAGATATAATTTTGGAATTTGAAGCTCTTTATACTTTCACTCAGCAATACTTTTAGAAGACAAAAAAAAAACCCATCATGCTGATACTTTCTAAACCAAGTATTATCCTCCTACTAGCTATCACATTATGTCACTGCTACCATAAATCAATAGATAATACACAACTCAAATGGATTTGCTGGTTAAAAGTAAAGTGCCTGCCACACACTCTAGGGTTCTCTGTTTTTCAACTTTGTTAAAGGGCTGTAACGCCCTGGGATCTTGTATTAAAGGGCAGAATTACTCTGGTAATGCAACACAAAATGAAATACTGCCTGAAAGGTCAACTACACTGAGAGGAAGAGGAAAGAGAATTTAAGCAAGCAATAGATTTTATTTCACTTAGGATCTCCAAAGGTAGAGAGGACGTCTCTAATAAAGCTTGTGCCAAGCAAGAGTAACATAAAATTGGGCAATACGGAAAAAGTAATTTCTGTTACCTTGTCTACGTTATGCTAGAAAAAACACAGTTCTAATCACTGTATCTCATTAGTTCCACATAGTTACACAAGGGGGAATTTCAATTTTTTCTAACCTCACACATAAGAAAGTAGACAACATACTAAACTATTTTGGGAAAGCTTGCCTTGGATGTACTAAATAAGGCATATTGTTCTCCATTGCAAGAGACTTGATGCTTAGCTGCTCTGAACCACCTCATTTACTATGAATCAAATCCATACATGGTGTAAAGCCAAAGGCTATTCACAAGAGGTGGTATCTCAGTATGACAAGGTACTACAGCCTTAAGTGTGATACTAGAACAACTGTGCATCGATATTGTTGCAGAACAGTTCACAAGAGGAAGGGCAGGAGCACATTTGTGTGGTCATGCTTAGGGCCATGTATAAAAAATTGCATACCTTTCCCCATCAAATCATACGAGCAAAGCTGAACTTTTCTAAACCAGCCTGGAAGGACTACATCTGTCTATATCAAATCAAACAGGCCTGTTCCTTGGTCCTGGAAACAGGTGCCACAGCCTACCTTGCAGCCATTTGGACAGCTTTTATTCACTCCTTCAGAATGGGGACTGTTCCCAAAAGGCACATGCTTTCTACCAGACCACTAGACATGTTTTCATGGAGAGGTAACACTACCCAACACTGCATCAAGAGTTGCAAGAGAACAGAGATTACAGGACAACATAGCAAGCCTGCATCTATTTAGTTTGTTAATATAAAGTAGTCTGTAATTTTTGATAGAGCAATGAGCGAGGACAGGCATGCTAAGTTAATCCATCGGAAAGGCAAAGTCCCAGACGCTAACGCTGCACTGCCCTTCCACAATGCTGTGAAGTCCTCCAGAAACAGTTTCACTCCCTGACCAGGAGACTCGCAAACTGCGTCTGCGCATTCATCTGCTTATCTCCCTCAGGTCCATATTTCCACTGTTGCGAAGACTATTCAAGTATTTAAAATTAATTTCACAAATACATACAAGTTTAAAAACATACTGTTGTTCTGTGTTTTTGTACCGAACTGTTCTTCGCATTAGCCCAAGTTCAATTTTGTAGATCATCTTTCCTATTCTTCAATTACATCTATTTTAGACAGAAGCTTAGCTAGGTCTCCACACAAAGGTTTAACCACTTCCAGATACAACTTTTACTAAATATGTATGGACAGTCTTCCATTGTGTTCGCTTCCTCCCACAAATTTCCTTAATCCAAAAAATACAGGTTACTCCGAGCAAAACTGAAGTCTTCTTCATTTTTAACAGAAGTCCATTTTTCATTTTTAGTTATTTATTAAAAAAAAGTAAAGCATAAAAAGTAATCTAATATTTGATTAGATTATAAATTGATAAAAATGCAGAGGTCATTTTGAATGACACAAACGAAATACAAGATTCTACCAAACTAGTAATTTTTATGGGGGGG